TTTTGAAAAATAAAGTCTCAATCAGACTAGGCTGGACTCAGAAAGGAATTGGCTCACATAGAACTTGTTCAGATTCAAGAGCGGAAAAAAGCAAAGCACTTCAGATTTTCCTATCGGAAGGGAATTTTCCAAGTTGGTTTAGGCTACAATCTCTGCTGAAAAAGAAAGAGCACAAGTCAGCAGGGTTTGCCAATTAGTCTATGTCTTGGGACACCTCCCAAATGCACAAAACACACAAGGAAAACCCTGATAGTTACCTACAGGGAGATTTTGATGTTGTTCTAATAATAGACCTAGAGTTTAGATTTATTTGTATTCTAATTTGCAATATTTGCCCTGGATTAATCCATTGCCCTGTGCAATGGATTAAGGGAAAGTGGCTCAAACCACCAATCACTGTCTACTCCAGTATAGATCTAGTCTCAGAAACCCTAAAGAACAGTTGTGTTCAGTCCTAGATGGTCCCTAAGAGTCAGAGTCAACTCGGTGGCCATGGAGGGGGGTTAATTTGCAATAGTACTATGATTCTACAATATTCTGGCTGGCTTTCCAGATTCTGCCTTATCTTCTGCAATAGCACTTGCCACTATCAAAAATTATATCATTAATCTTTTCCCCTACTAAATGTAAGCTCCCTCAGAGCAAGAATCTGTCTCTCTTCTAACAACATGATCGATGTCCAAGGCGAACAAAGCTGGTTACCACACAGGAAACCTCCATAAACACGCTAAATGAATGGTGACCACTGAGTTCTTAAAGGGAAATCAATTTTCACGAAACCCCGATTTTAGCAATATCTTACTTATTTTGTCCAGTGTGGTTAGTAAAGCTTCCCACCATTGTGTTCCAAATCTCCTTTTAAGTCTTAGTTCCAACATGAAGTTGATCTGTGATAGATAGATCTTTTAGGTGACCGGTAAGTGAAATTAGATGAAGCCTGGAGAATACATACTGCTCAGAAGAAAATCCTCACCTCTGCTTTGTAAGGGCCGGGATCCCAGAGGTTCATGCTTGGGCAGACACTTCATCGGTTGGAAGGGGCGTCTGTGTGACCCCCGAGCTCTCGTGAACAACGCTGTCTTACAACAGAGCAGTTCAGGGTTCCGAGCCATGACCTGGAAATCATTAATTTAAAACATTTTTAATTGTTTCAACAAATGTGTCCATCGTGCTTCCTATGTGCTTGCATTCTTTATTTTCCAGGAATTGTTTACAAGAGATCTACATACATTATTGCATGTAACACAGACAACAACCACGCTAGGAAGTAGTAATTATTATCATCGTCTTTTTCCTGAAAGGGGAAACTGAGATAAAGATTTTAAGAAGCTTAGCCAAGGTCAGGACCCCTGGTGGCGCAGTGGGCTGAGGTGTTGGGCTGCTATCTAAAAGGTTGGCAAGTCCCTGGGAGAAGGATGAGGCACTTTACCAGAATCTGCCCACCGCCCACCCCCGCCTTGGAAACACTGTGGAGCTCTCCTCCCTGGTCACTGGGAGTTGGAAATCACTCCATGTGGCGTCTTTTAGTTTTAGGTAAGCTTACACTGCTATGTGGCAATGCTAGAATGGCAGCACTCATAGAATCAGACTCCATGCATTAACCATCACTCTGTGCTCTCTCTCTTTATGCTTTTATGAAAACCCTTTTAAAAATAGCATTAAA